TCAAAGACAGTGGGGTGGGGGGCAGTGACTAGCCCCCCCTCCCAAGATGGCATCGAGCTGCTCATAGCAGCAGTAGGTGTGCGGTGCTGCCCCAGAGCATCCATGATGCTCCCTGGCCTTGCGGTAGACCTGGCACAGCTCTTTTATTTTGAGCCAACAGTGCTCGAGTCTCCTACTGTACCCTTTCTTGGCCAGGCTGGCAGCGATCCTGCCATAGATGTCAGCATTGTGCTTCGTGGAGTGGGGATCCTGGAGGTTGGGCTCCTCCCCCCCACACCTCAGTGAGGTCCAAGATCTCCACACCAGTCCAGGATGGAGCTCTTCTGTGTCCCTGGGCAGTGGAGGTTGTGTGAGCAGCAGAAGTGCTGGCAGTTGTCAGAGGGAGCATTGGGGTTGCTCGTGTCTCTCTCTGTGTCCTGGTTGCTTGCACAGGGCTCTCACAGCTGGCCACATGGGACAAGCCCTTCTCCTGCTCCCTGGAGTTTTAGAGCTTCCCAAGAGAGGAGAGCTGTGGAGATGCCAGCTGTGGTCAGAGCTGCCAGCTGTGGGAGGTCTCCAGAGGCCATTTAGTTTGAATTAGCAGCACCAAAATATCTGTACTATAGTTATTTCAGAATTAGCAATACTCCTGATGAAAAGCACGAGTACATAACAGTGTTTGAATTCTGCAGCCTGTTTTGAAATAATAGGCTTGGTAGTGTGGACGCACCTCTTATAAATGTTGACCTTGAGAAGGTGGGATTATTCTGAGATAAGGTCCTAGTGTAGAGCAGGGCTGTGAGAATAGTTACACATTATTTTGAATTTGTGAGTTATACTAAACCCAATATAATGTATAATATAAAGACGTACTCAAGATAAAAATTTATAGTGGATTCTATTCAAGGTGAGTTCTTTCCTTTGTCATTGGTCATAGCACATTGTAACTCACATGTGATGATGTAAGAATGATGTTCCTATTTCCAGAAAATTATTAAAAATCAATCTTGTTCATAAGTATTTAAAAAAAATTAAATTGAAAAGCCTTTACTTCCTAGTACACACACATGAAAAAAGGTTGCCAACTCAAACAAAGCAAGAATGAATGATTAGTCTTGAAGTTGCATATGGTTTATCACTCCATGGATGTATATCCTCTCTGATTAATTTTTTGCATTACTGTTTTTGTATGTTTGCGCAGATGAAACACTGAAATTGTTAAAAGAGCTAACAAGCAGAAAATCTCTTCAAGTGCCAAATATCTATTACCATTTGCCTCATTTGCTGAAGAATGAAGGAAGCCTTCAACCTTCTGTGCAGATTGGCCTGGGACGAACAGGCGGTATGCTGACATAATTTAAATTATTATGTTTGATAAAAGTATGTTTGAAGGACTTCCTAATTTTGTTTTGGCAATATAGTTTGTGGTTTTTGGTAGCTGTAATTTTATTTGTATGATCTCTTAGAACTCGCACTGAATCCAAGATGAAAGAAGTTGGCTTCAGTTTTGCTCTTTACTGCATTATCACAGATCTCACACTACCCCAGGTGCTAAGGTATACAACCAAAAGCATTTAATCTGGATCAATTTGTGTTATCTTTTAATGAGATTTATGAAACTTAACAAGGCATGGAAATACTATAGGCTCCAAAACTAGTTTTCTAACAGTTCTGTTTGGTTATTCAGAAATATAGATAAACAAGCATGAATCTAACACTTTCAAAGCTGGTTGTCTGGTATACCCAAAATAAATTGCAGTGTATAACTCAGTGGACTTGGAATTATGGGTACTGAATGATAATTAGCTTGGTCTTTTCCTTAAAAGTTATACCTTGATTAGAGGAGAAGAATACTTCTAATATTAATTTACATGTTTTTAGTTTTACTGATTCCTCATGCTTTATAAATAACATATTCACCAAAACAAGTTGATTAATCTTTAAAAGTTCTGCTCCTTCTTAATCAATAGGATTTCACAAAATTCCATTCCTACAGCTGCAGCCCTTAAAACAGATAATGCCCAACAAGGGTCATGTACTTGAAAGCATGTCTGCATGTCTATAAGGCATGAAGGCCCCACACATGTCTGCCGGTTTGATCTGAAGCTGCTGATTCTCTCATAATAGAAGCTTCCTTCTTTTGATCGTAATACTTACAGATATGGTCTTTTTTGTGTCCTGTGGGTTAGATTCTGTGCTTTTAAAAAGATGAATGCATGTATATCAAATGTGCAGAATCAAGTCTCTTATTCTCAATCACACACTAACAAAATTGAATTAAATGTATTATATGTTACATGGCCTAAATTCAGGGATGTGAAAAACACACCATGAACCATGAAATCTGGTCTTTATGTAATTTTACCCTATGCGATATCATAGGGGAAAAGCACACAAAAGTACATGGTGTTTTTCAGACTAGGCGTCCTGTAGAGCTATTGTAAGGAGGTCGTGGTATTGACACCCTTACTTCTGCACCACCTGCAGAGCTGGGCATCTGGAGTGTGACAGGAGCTGGTCAGATGTACAGCTCTGAGACAACACTGTCATCAGCAGCTGTGCAGAAGTAATGGTGGAATGGCATGGTGTATTTCCACCCCTACTTCTGCGCTGCTGCCAGAGGAGGTGCTGCCTTCAGAGCTGGGAATTTAGATATCTGCTCTCTGACTACCAGCACTAAAGGCAGTGTAGAAGCAAGGGTGGTGACACTGACTCCATTCCAATAGCCTTGTGATCCTCCCTCTTGGGTCAGGACAGCCAGTGTGAGAGATGCTGATATAAGGACTTTGTGTTTATATTCTTCTGTTGTAAGAAAACACAAAGGCTATGTCTACACTTGGGGCTTCTTGCACAAGAACATCTTGCACAAGTGTTCTTGTGCAAGAACTCGTGTGCAAGAAAACGTCCACACTGCCATGTGCGAGCTGTGCTTTTGCGCAAGAGCGCCCATGGCAGTGTGGACGCTTTCTTGCGCAAGAAAGCTCTGATGGCCATTTTAGCCATAGGGTTTTCTTGCACGAGAAATCCCTGCGGAGCGTCCACACTGCCCTCTTGTGCAAGAGCTCCTGCGCAAGAGGGCTTACGCCTGTCAAAAAAGAGCGTAACTCTTGCACAAGCAGCCCCCTTACCACGCCGTACTGTAAATTTACTTGCGCAAGAGCAGGCGGGCAGTGTGGATGCTCTGCAGATTCTTGCGCAAGAACGGCCGCACTTGCGCAAGAAGCCGCAAGTGTAGACATAGCCAAATATGTATTTTAAAACACAATGAAATTTAAGATTGAAATTCACTTGAACTTCTTATATCTGGCAGTCTTGGGAAATTGACTATGCTGGATTATGGAATTTTCTGGACCATAGGTGTTTGCAATAATGAATGGTGATGTGGGGTTGGAATGCAAGGTCCGGGCATAAGAGGGAAAGGGTAAGCACCCTGCTTCTGGGCGCATATGTGGCTTTGCACCCCTTGTCGCTATCAGACACGCCATCTGCTGCTGTGGGAGCATCAGGGGAAAAGCCTCCAGACCAGCACTTTGTTGTGTTGTCTTCCCCCTACTGGGGGGTGGTGGGAAGGGGCAGAGTAGCAGTATACAGAGCTGCTTCTTTTTCCCCTTGCCATGGTTTGAACCATGAGTGTTCTTGGATCACAAGCACCTGAATCACAGAGGTTCAATTGTATAAAAAACTATGAATTTCACGATTTTGAAAATGCTATCTCCATGAAATTTAGAAGTGTCATTAATTTGGTAGTGCCCTATTTATATTTATTAACTGGAAAAGTGGAGGACTCAGACTTCTTCCACTGGGTAATGCAAACTGTATATTTCAAATGTAAATTGTAAAAAAAAAAAAAAATCCAGGGTCCCAGTACTAGTAGAAAAATTAAGATATGCTTCACCACCCTTCTGTCTTTCTGTTGTGCCTGCTTTGTAGGCATTTCTACTCAATCCAGAATTTAACGTCAGATGCCTTTCAGAGGGAGTTTGTAGGCACAAGAGGATGAGTTGTTAATGCCAATTAGTATTTTCAGCTCTAACCTGATTTTTTTTGTATTTTAAAGTGAGAGCCACTTGTATTTAAGTGCAGCTTTTTTCAGCATAGAGCCACTGGGCTTCCTCATTAATGCATATAGTTCTACTCATCCCTTTTGTTCCCTCTACCTATTTTGCTCCCAGTGGGAGGGCAGCCCTGTGTATTGGGGGTAGGCTAAGGAGCATGAAGATTGAACAGCCAGGCAGAGGCACAGTGGTGGCGGGGAGAGGGTGCCAGGGAAGGTCCCTGCACTATAAGCAGGGAATGGATGCTGGCCCTGCCTGGCACCTTCCTCCCTCCCCTAGCCTGGAGAGCACTGGCCTGAGGGGGCCCCAGGTCTAGCTTGGGGACACATACTGCCTTCCCCATGCGCTGTTCTGTTCTGCCAGCTGGTGCAGCTGGGAGCATGTGTAGGAGAGGCAACCCATATCTGGAAGAGGAGGAGGGCTCCCAAAAAAGCACTGCCCTGTTTCAGGGTGCAGAAAGCCCTGTGGGCAGGGCCCAAAGACAGTACCCCTCTGTCCTGCTGTGATCTGACAGAATCTGCTGCTGCCAGGTGCCATTGCTCATGAGCCTCTGGCAGTAGCAGCATGAGATGCAAGTCTGTTCTTCCTTCCATTCCCTACTCCCCCTCAAGTCCCTTACCCTGCCCTTGTGCTGCCCCTTACCCCCAGTCTCTGCTCTCATGCTGCCTGCCTCTTCCCTGCAAGATGCCACCCCTCAACTCATCTGTGCTCCCTCCCGGCCAATTAGCTTGCTGTGGATTGGATGATGAGTTGAGCCTGGCTGATGTGGATCTATTTATAAGTTTCTTCTGCAAAAGTTATTTAATATTTTACTTTAAACTTCTACTTGTTTTTTTATTTGTGAAAAATGGCTGTAACAAATTGGGAGGCTAAACTCTGGAAAAAGATTCTAGTTTACTTTGTGTTAGTCTCCGTGAAGACTATTTGAAATCCTGGGAGATGGGTGAGCACAAGTCTGCTCACTGCTAAAGGCCCCTCCCCAGCTCTGTGGGAGGGACCACTAGACCAGAGTTCCAGCTGATTACTTGGGACAACTAATGAAAAACAGGGTCAGGGTGCAGGTTCAGTCTCCATGCATTTTTAACTAACAGATACCATGGTTGTACCCATTTTAACAATAAATTAATACTGTGACACTTTTAGCATCTGGGTATTTTTCTCTTTTTTTTGGCTGTCTGCATTTCCTCTGTGAATTGATTTTGTTTTTGTTTTTATTAATTGTATTAACAATAATGCTGGTATGCTCTGGAATCGTTTTTGGGTACCACCATGTTATCTCTTAATAGTTCGAGTGTATTTCTGAATAAATGCTTTGTTAGATAAGACAGATATGAATTGTGCATTTGATTGTTTATTTCATTTCAGTTTCAATTGTAATGGGAATTCCTACTGTGAAGAGAAAAGTAAAGTCTTACCTGACAGAAACTCTTCACTCTCTCATTGATAAATTGTCTCCAGAAGAGAAATTGGATTGTGTTATGGTTGTCTTCATAGGAGAGGTAATCACATATATTTTTCAATCATTTTATTGTTCTATTTCTAAAAATTGGTTTGAATGTTCCACAAGGACATACAAGGTTATAGAAGAATGTTTTTTATTCTTTAAGTGATTGCTTATGTGCACTTCAGTAGGGGTGTGCATGTTGCATGCATGATTATTTGAAAACTTTTCCTTTAGTGGTACCCATTGGGTTGGCTATGGAGCTCCCTAGCACGTGGTGCCTTAAGGGAGCAGTATTTAGGACACTTCTGGACCTTCCCCCTTCCTCATCCCCCATCCTTCCAGTGACAGTCTCTGGAGCCTCATATTGCTTTTGCTCTGCAAGCACGTTTTGGTATCCATTGTCATTAGTTCTTCAGTTTTCAGTTCTGTAGTTAGGTAGCATTAGTTAGCCTGGGGGAAGGGGAGGTACAGTTCCCCTAACTGGGACATACTGCAATTTCAGGGGTTCAAATCTTGAGAACTGTGGAAAGTCTAAGCTCAAGGGTGATCCACACTCCTCCTGACTTCGCTGTTTAATGGCCATCTCCAAAGCACTTAAGTGCCCCATTTGCCAAAGCTTTAAGACTCAAACTAAAAAAAGAATATGACTATCACCTGGAGTTCATACTCATGGAGATAGCTCTCCGTCTTCCACCTACGCTGGAGTTGGCACCAGCTCCAGTGTGAGCAGAGCAGTGGTCTTGGGGCAGCACCTTCAGCACCACATAAAATTGCCTTGAGGGTCCACTGTCACCTCCCCTCACCACAGCTGGGTTTAAGCATGCTGTGCTGTTCCCGCTCCTCAGTGCCATTGCTGCCATGGTCAGTCTCTGAATATTTGTTGGACTTGGGTGAGAAGTCCTCCATGTCCAGGCGAAGCCAGTACTGCTTACATTCCTGGCACTGTAGCCTTTGGGTTGCACTGGCGGCAGCAACAGTGGCAAGTACTTTTCCAGTGGCCCTTGTGGACTTCATGGGCCTACCACTATTCACAAGAGCTGGGTGTCTGGCTGATGAGTCTTGCCCCCATGCTCAGGGTTTAGCTGATCGCCATATTTGGGGTCGGGAAGGAATTTTCCTCCAGGGTAGATTGGCAGAGGCCCTGGAGGTTTTTTGCCTTGCTCTGTAGCATGGGGTACAGATCACAGCTGGAGGATCTCTGTATCTTGGGGTCTTCAAAGTATTTGAAGGCTTCAATATCTGAGAGATAGGTGAGAGGATTATTCTAGGAGGGGTGGGTGAGATTTTGTGGCCTGCACTGTGCAGGGGGTCAGACTAGATGATCATAATGGTCCCTTCTGACCTTAAAGTCTATGAGCTGCCCGCTGTGGCCATGTCTGATGTCCATGCCCCACTGTTTGCTACCTCAGATTAACAGCATTCTCCAAAAGAGCATGTGTACACACCTGAACCTGCGCCACCAAGCATGGCATCAAGCCCTCTCTTCTGGCACGGTGTACGACACTGATACTGGAGGCAGCTACACAAAAGCTGGCAGTCCCTGACTCTCTCCCTGGGGAGCAAGACGGTCAGCAAGCTCCTTTTCCACAGGCCTTGTTGTCCTCATTGCCAGAAGAGGCAGTGGCTGCTATCTCCACCACCACACTTCCTCCCATGGATAGCAGGGAGGATTTCTGATGGCAAGTGGAACAAATTCTGCAGTTGCAGGTGGAGGAGATCATCAAGGATGCTGACACGATGGTTTACATCCTCTCCTCAGAGGGCCCTTCAATGGTGGCCCTTCCATTTGTTAAGACAGTCCAGAATACTACAAAGGTGTTATGGCAACCGTGGCATCCATACCTCCTGGATCCAAGGGCATTCATGCTTCACAAGGGTATGGGCACCTCTTTGTGCACCCATAGCCGGGCGGGGCTCCCTTCTGGTGGAAGCAGTGAACCACAAGGAGCGGCAGGGGCAGCCAGGGCCTGCACTCAAGTTGAAGGAAGTTAAAAAGCTAGACCTCTTTGAGTGTCAGGTTTATTCCACCAGGGGTCTACAACTGTGAGTAGCTAGCCAGTAGGTGGTGCTGAACTGTTATTCCTTTAACTCCTGGAGTGCCCTTGCTAAAATTCAGGAGCTTCTTTCCACTGACTCCCACCAGGAATTTTCAGCCAATGTAGAGGAGGGCAAACAGGTTGCCAGAATCTCCCTGCAGGCAATCCTGGAATCTGCTGACTTAGTGGCCTGTACAATGCTCACAGCTATAACCATGAGAGAAGGCTCATGTTGCAGGTCTTTGGTATCTCTCTGGACATCTAGACTACTTTCCAAGACCTGCCTTTTGACTGTCCTGCTATTCACAGAGAACACTGACTCCTGTCTGCACAGTCTGAAAGATTCTAGGGTTACCCTTAAATCCTGGGGGATCTACACCCCTGCACTCCAGAGAAAGCACTTCAAGACCCAGACCCCTGCCTGCATCTACTCTGGCCAACCAAGACACAGTTCTTTCTGGCATAGGGACCAGAATCGCAAGAGGCACCAGTCTCACTCTGTCTCAGGCCAGGATCAAGGGGACACTAAGCAACCCCCGGGACAAAACTCAGCTTTTGGGAGTGTGCCCAAGAATGGAGCACTAGTTTCCATATCGTGTCCTTTTTGGTTTGGCAACCGATTATCCCATTTCTACCATGCCTTGGCCCAGATCACCTCACTTTGCTGGGTCTTGACCAGGAGTAGGGGCAGAATACTCTATCCAGTTCTATTCCTTCCCACCCACGCAGCTTTACCCAACCCTCTTCAGGGACCCCTCTCATGAGCATCTCCTTATGCAGGAGGTGCAAGCACTCCTCACACTGGGCGCCACAAAGGAGGTGTCTCAGATTTTATTGATCCCAAGGCCCAAGCACAAGTTCAGACCCTGTCTGGACCTGCAGAACCTCAATATCTTTATCAAGAAGTTCAAGTTTTGGATCTCCTTAGCCACAACCATATCTTCCCTGGATCCAGAGAATTGGTATACCACCTTCACATTTCTATAATCCCAGCCCACAGAAGATTTCTCAAGTTTGTGGTCAGTGACCACTATTATTAGTTTATGATGCTCCCTTTCTGTTTTTCTGTGATCCCTCAGGTGTTCACAAAATGCTTGGTGGTCATGGTGACTTTCCTCTGGAAGCATCAAGTGCATTTCTACCCATACCTAGACAACTGGCTCATCAAAGGCAAGTCCAAAGAGTGGATTCTGGCTCACGTTGCCCTAGTGAGGACAGTTTTCACTGACCTAGGTCTTCTCCTAAAAAGAGTCCAAGTCACCCCTAATTATGACTCAAAGGATAGAGTTTATAGGCAACAGTCTCCCCGTGCCCAAAGGCTGTTTTCACACAATGTCTGACCTCCGTCAGCAGTTCTGCACTTCCATAGTAAGGATCTGTATACGACCTGGTCAAGGTCCTGGTGCTGATCCTGATAGCTCATTTAATGAAGGCACAATCTTCCTTGGTAGCATTCCTTGTATAGGTCTTTATCCAGAGTATCTGCTGGGAAGCCGCGTGGTAATCCTGTCACATCTTGACATTGCACCAGGCAGAAATGAGATGATGCGGCCTTTTCAGGGCAGTCCTGCAGGCAGCAACCAGGTGATTTCTGACCCCTTTTCCATGGAAACTGCTGGTGAGTCACCTATTGGAATGCACATGAGCAATCACCTGAAGAAGAAAAAATGGTTACCTACCTTTTGTAAATATTCTTCAAGATGTGTTGCTCATGTCCATTTTAGACTCCATGCACCTGTCCTCTGATTAATTTGGCAAGAAGAAACAGAGAGTGGGAGGGGTCAGCAGTGTTCTATATATTGTTCCTTGAAGGCGCCATGCCAGGGGGCACTACTGCCAATGCAGTGGGTAGCACTAAGGGAAAAATTCTCCAATGACTGTGCACGCAGGACATGCACGTCTTTTGGAATGGAGATGAGCAACACTTGAAGAACAATAGCTACAAAAGGTAGGTAACTTTTTTTTTTCTGTGGTTGTGCATGAGGTGGCAGAGTGCATGGTTCACATGTTATACTGAGATACATCACCTTGAAATTGTGTGTATGAAGGACTTTCTGTTCAAAAGAAAGAAAGTGGAGGAAGATCCAGAGGCTCCATTTCCCACTGATGACAGTGGCATGTGATGATGCTGGAGAACACTATGGCAGCTGTTGGGCTTCAGTAGCCTCTGCAGGGTGCTAGCTTGGTGGGGAGGATTCCTCTTTTATACATGTGCTTAATCCTCCTACTCTGGGTACTGTGCTGAGGATTTTGTCCATAATGCATAATAGTGCTGACAGCTGTGTTTGTTTTTCTGGACAATATGTTTATCCTGCTAAAAGATTAATATTTCGTGACCCTAGTCTTTTGGTGGACACCATTCAAACAAAATTTCATTGGACAGTTTGGAAAGCTGATTTATTGTTGTTGAGTACACCAGATGTTCTAGCTCGCATCAAAAGGACAACCAAGAACAAGTGTCTCTTAGGAAGAATTTTATCAGTTGCTGCAAAGGCCGCAAATCTCTTTTTAGAACTGTGTGCTCTCCTTGATAAATTGTGATCTGAGTTACACAACGTGGCAGGGTTTATAAAGGACTGATTCTCACACATCTAATTGTATAATTTACTCATGAAGCAGAGTGATTTTTCATTACTGGGGCTCATTACTATCTGTTTTAGGGGCAATGTGAAAACTATCTGTTGAATGAGCCTATAGTTGTACAGTGGCCTATATTTACTTCAGCTTATGTAAGCCAGAACCTTTCTGTGAGTGAGAGTTGAGTGAAACGAACACTCAAGTGGCTATAGTTCTGTTATCAGAACACACTGAGAAATCAGCAAATTCTAATGCCTCCTTTTTAATGTTTTAGACACTCCACTTGACATGTTAAATTTGAACAACCTGGGAGTCATTCTAGGTCATATTGCTCTCCCTTTTTCCTACCTGTCAACCATGACTATGGGTCTGAATATTACATTTGGGTAGCTGTCAATCTTCATAAACTGCAGAAAAAGTTCTTGGGACATGCTGATTGGTA